AGTTTGCAGCTCCACAGATGAAACACACGCCCCTCCCTCTAAAGCCCCGGTCGCCCGCCTGCACCACTGTCAGCCCTCACGCATGACTCCCCAGCGCCCAGGCAGGCAGGGTGGGGAGAGGAATGCAGGCTTTACTTAAAGCTGGTGCCTTGTGGATCGGGTTCTTGTTTTTGCATAATTGTGATTTTTAAAAGACTGTTTGAAAAAAGTAAAAAACGAAATAAGTAAAAAGACTTTGAAAATATTACCTCGATTACTGGAGTTTTGGGCACTCCCATACATTCTGCACCTAAGGAAGTGCCTCGCTGGCTCACCCAGCTCAGGTCAGCTCTCGGGACGCCAGAGATGAGCTGGTGGTTGGGCGTCCCCTCGAGCGAACCTGCCATATTGATGGTGCCGGCCACTGCATGCCCGGCCCCGAGCTCCACAGACTTCCTCTCCTCACACCCTCAGCACCCCCAGCTCCACAGACTTCCTCTCCTCACGCCCTCAACACCCCCAGCTCCACAGATTTCCTCTCCTCACACCCTCAGCACCCCCAGCTCCACAGACTTCCTCTCCTCACACCCTCAGCACCCCCATCTCCACAGACTTCCTCTCCTCACGCCCCACGCACCCCGAGGGAGCAGTGTGTGCTCTGCTTTGCAGGGGAGGAAACAGGCTCACAGGAACCCAGTTGTCTCAGGGAGTCGGCACCAAAATGCGGGCCCAGGAAGTGGCCTGTGACCCCAGCCCCGTGCTCCTGTCCGCCCAGCCGCCAGACAGTCACTTCAGCACGGCCTGGGCCTCGAGAGCAGTGTCAGGCACTAGTGGGTTCTGCTGCCTCGTTTCTCAGCCTGCTTCCCCTTCACTGATATTTCATGGCCATTGTGAATGTGCATTTTTCACCGAGTGATTTTCGCAGCCCGAACTTGTAACTCGTCCCAATGACAAACGTCCCCGATTCTGAGCCCCCCTCGGCCGCAGTGTCACCCTCGCCTCCTCCCCACACCTCCCCGACAGCCCATCCAGTGTCTGGTCGCTCGGTCCCAGTTTTCACGACTCCGTGAAACAGACAACTGGGAGCGAGCGAGCAGGCCCAGGCATGGTGGCTACTGCCTTGACCAATCAATCCTTAGTTGATTGTCACAGCCGAGACCTGAAATGTCGCATCATATCCCCATGAGTGAGCCCCCCGTCGGCCACAG